CGAGAAGAAGTAAGCTGACGAACAATGAAATTGTAGAAGATTAATGGATTATCCATCAAAAAAAAATATATGCCACAATAGGATAAATAGTGATGAAGATGGTAATGTTATTGCCGTTGTTGTTGCTGCTGCTGTTGTTGTCAGGATGACGTCACGATGATGTCATTAGTGTTGTTGCTCTGTTGGTGACTTCATGCTTGTCGTTGTTGTTGTTGCTGCTATGATGATATTCGAAAAAGAACTTGGCAAAATAGGATACATTTTTGCTGTTTGTTGTTAATGTTGTTGTCACATCGTTGATGTTGTTGCGAGCATAAAAACCAAACAAAACATCATACAAATACATGCATACATTACAAATTGATACAATCTACCAACATTTTATACACACACACACACACACACACACACACACACACATGTATGCATGTAAATGTAAGAATTACGGGCGAATTATAAACAATAAAAAAAAAAACCTCAATATCGTTACGTTCGATCGATGCATTTTTATTATTATTATTATTTTTTATTATTATTATTATCTTTTATTATTAATAATAATATTTTTTGTATTAGTAAGTTGGTTCTTTCAGGCATATTATTTCATTATTTTTTCTTTGTTGTTTATATTTTAAATTTGAACGTTTAGACCGACGATGATGCACTAAGTCGTTAAATTAAAATTTAAAAATAAATAATAATAAATAAATAAATAAATTTTATAAATAGCTATTATTATTATTTTTATTACTTAAGCAGTGAGTAAAATTATTTTTTTCAAATAAATAAAAACTCTATTTGATAAATTAATTGTTGAATTTTTTGCCGAAAAAAAACACACACAGCTCAATATATAACATAAATTATAAAAATGATTTACTGTAACTAGGATTTTGGGGCACTTTAGAATATATGTGTGTGGTGTGTGCGTTTGTGTGGTTGAGTGAGTGAGTGAGTGAGTGAGTGAGTGAGTGAGTGAGTGAGTGAGTGAGTGAGTGAGTGAGTGAGTGAGTGAGTGAGTGAGTGAGTGAGTGAGTGAGTGAGTGAGTGAGTGAGTGAGTGAGTGAGTGAGTGAGTGAGTGAGTGAGTGAGTGAGTGAGTGAGTGAGTGAGTGAGTGAGTGAGTGAGTGAGTGAGTGAGTGAGTGAGTGAGTGAGTGAGTGAGTGAGTGAGTGAGTGAGTGAGTGAGTGAGTGAGTGAGTGAGTGAGTGAGTGAGTGAGTGAGTGAGTGATAAAAAAGTAGAGAGAGAGAGGAGAGAGAGAGAGAGAGAAAAAAAGGGAGATACGACCCCTGAAGACAAAGCAATTATAAATAAACGAATTAAATATTATGGGATGTATGAATGTTGTGAATACAAATTTGATTCGTTAGTTATATTTAATTCATTTTTTTCAATGTCATAATTTTTTTGTGTTTTTCCTCTTTCTTAAACGTCTGCCAGCTATTCATTCAATTGTACTGCTCTTTCCTTCGATTAATCAATCATTCATTCATTAATTTATTCTTTTATTCATTCATTCATTTTGTCTAGTTTTTTTATATCATCATCACCAGTAATACTATCTGTAGTAGCAGAAGTAGCAGCAGCAGCTGCAGTAGTAGTATCATTATTTATTATTTATTAGTAGTAGTATTTTTGATAGAGTCGTGACGAAAGATGAATGTTTGAGAATGGTTGAGTGTGATGAATTGTGATGTATGTATGGTCAATCTAATTCTTTGCCGATACGCATACTACCTTCAAGCCATTTTTGGGATGATGTTGATAATGATGATGATGATGATGATGATGATGATTATGATGGTAACAAAATTGATTATAAACTGTAAATAAAATGACATTGACGATAATGAAAGCCTTGGCGATTTTTATTTTGTCATCAGCATAACGAAGACGACGATGATGACGACAACGAAGATGAAGATGACGTCATCTAAGGTGAAGATGATGGCGATCAGGTCATCTGTCACCATCATTCCTAACGATATTTTCTTGGACATCATCGTCATCACCACAATCATCATCATCATCATGACCTCATTCGTCAGACCCTCATCGGCACTGACGTGTTTTGACTGCGTGGCATTATTAGGTTGCTTTTTCGTTTGTTTGTTTGTCTGTCGGTCTGTCTGTCTGTCTGTCTGTTTGTTTGTCTGTCAGTCTGTCTGTCTTTTTGTCTGTCTGTCTGTGGGTCTGTCTGTCCGCTCGTTCGTTCGTTCGGTCGGTCGGTCTGTCGTTCGCTCATTCATTTGTTTGTCTGTTTGTTTGTTTGTTTGTTCGTTCATTTGTTTGTTCATTGTTGAATGTTACATCCACACCACGTTTCTTACTCACTGGACGAGTGATGATAGCCAAATTTGGAGTCAGACAGCATTCAAACCAGGTAAGCACGCAATAGCGACGATGTAAAATATGGCACCGATACTGTCTGAGCTCATTTGAAAACCATTAAAAGTTGACGTTATTTATGGAGTGGTATTTAAATTGAAATGTTGTTATAACATTTTATTCACAACTGTTTTAAATTTTTCAGGTAGTTCGTGTTATATGACGGATGAAAATATTCAATCAGATTGTACCTGTTGTTCCGTAAGAATTTGTTTGCGTTTCATGCTTGTTCGTTCGTTCGTTCGTTTGTTCATCCGATTGTTTGCTTGTTCGTCCGTTTTTTGCATTCAAACACAGTGTCAGCGGCATGAGAACCGGGCATCTCAACCATTTAACCACCTATTAAAAACATACAACGTTAGCAAAAATGCAAACACTCAATCAATAAAACAACGCTTCTTCATTAATACATATCTTATCACACGCACACGCACACATATAACATACACACGCACACATATAATCCACACACGCACACATATAACACACACACGCACACATATAACACACACGCACACATATAACACACGCACACACACATATAACACACACACACATATAACACACGCACACACACATATAACACACACACGCACACATATAACACACACACACACATATAACACACACACGCACACATATAACACACACACGCACACATATAACACACGCACACATATAACACACACACGCACACATATAACACACGCACGCACACATATAACACACACACACACATATAACACACACACACACATATAACACACACACGCACACATATAACACACGCACACACACATATAACACACACACACATATAACACACGCACACACACATATAACACACACACACATATAACCCACGCACGCACACATATTACACACACATCACACATATAACACGCATACGCACACATATAACACACACACGCACACATATAACACACACACGCACACATATAACCCACGGACGCACACATATAACACACACACGCACACATATAACACACACACGCACATATAACACAAACACGCACATATAACACACACGCGCACACACACACGCGCATACATCGTGTTGTTTAGTATTTATTATCCGACATAACTTGCGCATTTATTATTCAATATTTCCCGACAGATGGCATTTGAAGAGAAACTGGTGAAGCGCGTTTGCGAGCGAGGTAAGTACGTCTTCCAGAACTGCGTGCCCAAACATGGGCGAGACGCATGCATATTTGATTATTGTAACGGGACCCACACGCTAAATAACTCGCCATACATTACATTCTCACTGCTTTTGTTCTTCTTCTTCTTCTTTATCCATCCGTGTTTCTTTAGTTTTTAGGGGTTTTTTGCTGATAAAAATGCGGTATTTCGGCTACTGCAGTAGAGAAGAAATAGAGAGAAAGAGAGAAAGAAACAGAAAATGAGAAAGAGAGAGAGAGAGAGAGAGAGAACTGTTACTACTGTTGTTGATTATTTATTCATTGGTTTGTGGTTTTCTTGTTTGTTTTTAACAATTTGATAGGTTCAATAATGTTGTTAGTGTTTGAGGTTGTTAGAAAAATATTTGCGTTCATTCATCCAATGGCACAATGTACGTTAATTTCAACGAGCTGAATTAACACTTTGTAATCTTTGATGGATATAATAACATCTGTTTGTGTGTGAGAGAGTTTGTTTTTTATATTTGAATAAAAAAAATTACAAAAATTATCCCCCCAATCTCAAAAGCCAATTGTCCATCACCTGCATTGGCTAACTTATTAGCTTTCCGTCCGTGGATGAACTGGCTATTAATCTATCATTTAATATATTTGTCCTATCATTCAACACGCACAAAAACACACACACGTACACACACACACATACATATATACGTACATACATACAAACATACATACATACAAACAAACATACGTACAAAAAAGACCGCGGTCCTACCTAATATATTGCACCATGAAATTGAACACAAAAGAACTTCATCAATCATCGTTCTGGCAAATCACCACTATTATCAGCCTCTCCATCATCAAAAGTATCATAATCAGGAACAGCATCTTTTTCCATCATCATCACTACCAGTATCATTATCGCTATCATCATCATATCATCATCACTATCGTCATCATATTAATATCGTCATCGTCACATCATCATCATCATCATATGAACATCATTATCATATGAACATCATTATCATATGAACATCATTATCATATCAACATCATCATCATATCAACATCACCGTCATTATCGCTATCACATCACAAGTATCATCATCATGATGACCGGTACATCAAGAGCATCATCATCATCATCACCGTCCCAAGCAATCACCTCGCTTCAACAGATCAATTACTCTTGCTTACCGTGCGACTGATTCTTTTAAAGAGATGGATGCTGGCAAAAAAGTCCGCGCCCTCCACCCGATATCAACTTATTTCCACCTCACACACATTCACACATACAAACTCGGACACCACATACACACTCACACATACAAACTCGGACACCACATACACACTCACACATACGGACACATTCAATTGTATAAGTATTTATCTACTCTTCACTATTTAAATCGCGATGGAACAGTTTTTCACTATCAAAAAAAAGATTGATTCGTTAAGTGGAGCAGAAGAAGACATTTTTTCAAAATTATTGGCGAAAAATTATTACTCCGAAAATAATGATCGCTCCGTGGTAAATAAAATAAGTATAAAAAACCAACAATGAATATTTGCAATCACGTCAAAAAAAATCAAACAATAATAGTTATAATAATAATAAAATAACGCTAACAAACAAATAAATAAGTATTCATATGCAAATCTAAGATAACAACAGTAGATTGCAGCTTTTGGCGCTACCATCACAGCTACCACAGTCACCACAACTACCACAGTCACCACAGCCACGACTACTTTCACCAAAACAAAAACTTGAACTACCACTGCCAATTTCTACCAGTGGGACTACCACTTCAACCATAACAATCTCTAATTTCCACCTAAATCAATCCCCACCAAAACCACCACGATTTTTACTACAACCACCACCATCTTCACTACAACCACCAACATCTTCACTACAACCACCACTTCTACCACAGCCTCTTCAAGCGTGTTTCAGGGGATTACGGAAGTGTTTGCCGGCATACTTGGCTGACCCGTGCAGTTCCTCCTCTATGCGGAGCAGCTGGTTGTACTTGGCCAGCCTCTCGCTACGACACGGTGCCCCGGTTTTGATCTGCGTGAGATAGTGGTGAGATGGTGGTAAGATGGTGGTGACATTACGATCTGACGTGATGGTGTGATGATGGAGTGACGATCCGACGATGAAAAGGTGTAGGAATTATGCTTGAAGTACAAATTAACATTTTAAAATCAACTATATCAACTACACAACAAGTACACACACGTTATACACACACACGCACACACACACACGCACACACACTTACACACACGCACGCACGCACACACACGCACACACCTGTCCAGTGCACAACCCGACTACAAGATCGGCGATGAATGTATCTTCAGTTTCGCCACTCCTGTGCGACACCATGACACCCCAACCTGCACTCTGCGCCAGTTTGCATGCTTGGATTGATTCGCTCACTGAACCGATTTGATTGACCTGTGAGGGTGGTTAGTTGGTTGATTGGTTGGTAGGTTGGTTGAATGGTTGGTTGGTTGGTTGATAGATTGATTGATTGATAGGTTGGCTGGCTGGTAGGTTGTCTGGTTGGTTGATTGGTAGGTTGGTTGAATGGTTGGTTGGTTGAATGAATGAAAGGTCGGCCAGTCATATGATTGGTTGGCTTCTTAATTTGCGGTACAAATCAATTAAAAAGAGGACAATGAAACATAAATGTTGAAATTAAAAACTTAGTGATTAATACACTCTTTCAATCAACCAACCAGTCAATCAATCAACCCACCATTCAACCAATCAATAAACCCAGCCAGCCAGCCAACCAGCAACCAACCAACCAACCAACCGATCAACCAGCCAACCTTGAGTAGCAAGCAGTTGCAGGCCTTCTTCTCAATTGCAATGTTCACTCTCTTTGGATTGGTGACCGTTAAGTCGTCACTATTTTCGATAACGTTGTAAATGATTGGAACGATGATGATGATGTTGTCATCATTATCATCATCATCACCAACAACAACATCAACAACAACAACAATCATCATCATCATCAGCACCGACCCGACGAGCTGGATTTGAACTTGGGAGTTCATCTTGGTCCATGCGGCCCAGTCATCCTGATCGAAGGCATCCTCAATTGAGACCACTGGGTACTTGGCCAGAAAGCCCTTGTAGACCTCGAACAGCTGATCTGACGTCAGCTGATTGGTTGGTCGTTGTTTGGTTGGTTGGTTGTTTGGTTGATTGGTTGGTTTAGTAGGTGTTGAATGATTGAGTTGAGTGATTGGCAGGTTGGTTGGTTGGATCAATGGTTGGGTTTTTTTGGTTGGTTGGCTGGCAGGTGAATTGGTCAAGTAATTGGTTTGTTTTAAAATTATTGGCCGTTAGATGTGTTTATGAATGAAAATGTTTGAAAATTGCAATATAATTGGCTGGAAGTTTCCAAATGATAAATTGATTTATTGAGTGATTGGTTGATTGATTGATTGATTGATTGACTGACTGATGAATTGATTGAGTGATTGATTGATTGATTGAATGATTGATTGATTGATTGAGTGATTGATTGATGGACTGATTGATTGAATGATTGATTGATTGATTGAGTGATTGATTGATGGACTGATTGATTGAATGATTGATTGAGAGACAGAACCTACCCACTGAGCAGGATCTGATTTTGGATTCTTGAAGTCTAGATCGTATTTCTCGGACTTGTAGAACTCAGAAGCTGCAACATCCATGCCTGCAATGAAGATGATGATGATGATGAAGATGTCATGGATGATGATGATGGTGATGGCGACGATGGTGATAAAGATGAAGATATCTTAACATCCAACAAACCGATTTCAATCTTGCCAGTGTAACCGGCTTTTTCAATTGCAGTTTTCAAAAGTTCAAGACCTAAGTGAATAAATTAATGGACGAATGAATGAATGAATGAA